CTTGGACACCCAAACCCTAACATATATGCTATTTAGACACATTTTTAACATAATATATATATCAACCATATGATGCATTTATTAAATAACTTCAAAACAATAAAACTAATATAATTATTATATTTTTTTACCTTAAAACCTATCTTTTTTTACTATTAAAATTAATATCTTTAATATTAAAATTTATTTCTTCTTATAAATATACTTATAGTCAATAATTTACCTCATATTAAATTTCTATTATAACTACATCATAAATTTAAAGTAGTATAAAAAGTTGCCTAATGCACTATCTAATGTAAAAGTTATATATGTATGTTCTTACATGTATATATACAATTTTACAATTTTATTAAATTTATTATACTGAAATTAAAAATTTAATTGTATCAGCTGAAATATCATTTAGTGAATTTTCATCAGGTGCTTTAAGAATTATAAAATAGTCATAAGCACCTCATCCATAGTTTTCAACTATTTAATATACCAAATTGATTATGATTTAAGATAAAACAAAATCTTAGTAAAAGCATTAATAAAAAAAACAGAACTATTATAGTACTTATCTGAAAAAACTACCCTAACTTACATCTAGTTATCCTTTTAATTAAGTCTAACATTGGCTTCGTGAATATCTTAACCTTGAAGTAACTGTCTATGCCCTTGTCACTAGTAATCTATAAGCATATTCTAATACTAATTACACTAATTCAAACATAAAGAAAACCTAAATACAAACCTAACTAATATTAACTTAACTAATTTAACTTAAAAGCAAATATACCTGATCCTAAAAAATGTGTCTAAACTTATATAAATTTGACCTTGTGCAAGAAACACTATCAGTAAATAAATACTTCAAATAATAATAATACTAGAAAAATAGCAGTCTTAAAATGCGACATCAGCAAAACCATGGCTTAAAGAACAACTACAACAGTGAACTGATGGCTCTAAAATACAATAACACTAGTAGAACAACTTCAAAAAATAATAACATCAAAGAACAACAATACCAGAGAAAATACAGCTTCAGAGTGCGATAACACAATGAAATAACAACTTTGCAAAACTGATCTGTAGCTTTGGTGTACCAGCTTGTATTAAAAAACTATAGAACTATAGTATGATGCAAGAGTTATATGAAACCAAAGTGAAATGATTATATAAATCTAAGGACTAGAGTATATGAAATCCTGCTTGGCAAGTCCTGAGTAGTGAAGCAGCACAGATCATCCATATAAAGGATGATTATTAGCAATCAAACACTGACAAAAAACTGAATAAGGACCAAGTGTTTGGCAAACAATAATACCAACCAGGCCATATATATACAGGGGTGGCCTATATAAATAAGAAAAAAGAATTCAATCAGAATACTAAAGAAATGCCCACTAGTCAGTGTTCAAAATTAGTGTTTTCAGAGTTCTCATAAGAACATGAATTTAAGTTTGTGAACTGTAAAAATTTTTTACTGTTTACTATTAAAAATTTTTTAAAAACAGTAAAATAAAAATAATATTCTCATAAGTAGTATAGTATATATAGCCTAGAACTGGAGTTATGTGACTTATATATATATAATTTAAAATTGTTTAAAATTAAGAAAAAAATATATATATTTTAAAAAAGCTCTTTGTAAATTTATATTATTAGACTAGTATTGTAACTTTACAAAAAGAGTTTTTATTTAAATATATTAGTTCAAAATTTATTTACTGCTGAATTTAAAGTATCTCTATACCAAAATTTGGTTGCTATATTTAATTTAGTAATTTAGCAAAATTTGGCTACCTAGTAATTTATTAAAAATATATACACATTTATATAAAATTGATTTAACCTGCTAACTTTTTTTATTTTAAAATACCAATTGTGCCAATTATTCACTATTTAATTTTCCTATAAATTTATCTAGTGTCACTTGATAGAGACCTTAATCTTCTAGAATTACTGATAGTGCTAATAAAAAATACAAAAAAATTGGATTTTATGTTATGTAAATGATAAATTAAATTTTATATGACCTTAAATATGAACATATTATTTCATAGTAGATTAATAAAAAAATATTCAACCCATTGACCAAAATTTTAAACTCCAGGCTATGCAAAATGAAAACTTAACTTTGTGTGGCCTTAGGAATTTGTAAAATAAATAAGTTATATTTTATCATTAATTGAACCTATCTAAATGCTATCTAAATTGGCTAAAGTAAACTCAAGTAGGTTAAGAAAAATGATAATAGATTTGCAACAGCTGCTTTATACTAACTATAAAGCAATCCAACCTAAATATATATCAGAGCCAAATTTGTTACAAAATAGCTATCAACAAAATAGTTGTCAGCAATGTTGGTTTGTATTCATTTGATTTTAATTTCAAAACTCTAATTAAATATATTCCTAAATTTTTAAATTATAAAGCTTTTTATAATTTCAGAATTTTCTGAAATTTATTAACTAATTACTTAACCTATGGTTTCACTTATCTATAACCCAAGTAACTTTTATTGGTATAAGCCAACTTTACTAACAACTATATTGTATTGTTGATAGCTACTTTATAAACAAATTTTGACCTGATTTAGATTAATTGGACAGTGTTAACCAGAGGTAGATTATCAGTAATATACTTTTATTTCTATAAATATTACTGATAAATATAGTAATCTAAAGTATTCAGCTTGTAATTTAAAGCAAATCTTTACTGCAAATTCATTATAAATTACAATTGTTTTAATAAATTATGGGTCAGCTGAATAATTTTCTTATGACTGAATCAATAAGTTGTCAAGACAAAATTAATAAGTTACAAATATCAATTCATTAATTAGCAATTCCAAAATTTATGTTGATCAAAAAAGTTTTGTTCAATTAACATCTTTAATAAAATGACTTAAAATAGTTTTATTAAAAATCACTTAGAATTTTAAAACTGATTAATAGCATTAGGAGATTTTAGAATTAACTTTTTTCAAAAATAAGTGATTCTATTTTTTTTTTTAGAATTCTAAATCAAAAAATTAGATAAGCATAACTGGCAATAAAATTATAACTGAATTAGCCAAAAAAATCATTCACTAGTTTTTTTAATAATAATAAACATTCACTAGTAAGTGATTATGTAAATACAGTTATACCTAGATTATATCCTTTTTTTCTAAAGTATTTTTGGAGATATAACTAAGATAGAAATATAACTTAATATATAAGATATATAAAAATATATAAGAAGAGAAAATTTATTTTGCTTAAATATGGAGATTGAATCAAAATTATAATTTTATTGATTATTTTTATAAAGCAATTACAACTCAATATTGTAAGGAATTCTTTGATGCGATTTATATTTTTTTACAGCATATTCGGTGGCAGAGGGAGTTAATCCTTTTTTATAAACATCCTTATACCTCTATGCCTTTCTTGTAAACTTTCTAATTGATAAAATATCCACAAAATCAAGAGCCTTAGGTACAATTTTTCTTAATCTTTTGAAAGTATAATCACAGTGGCTTCTTGCATATCTTTTTATTGCTCCTCAATAGTATTTGATGTAGTTTAGTTCTAGATGAAACTTAGGATAATAAAAAATTTTGTGCATCTGATTAAGAATAATTTCTTTAAGAATATTCTTTTGTTTAATAAAATCAGGCTGTTTAGCCAATTTTCATATATTGTAGCATATCTTTTCCTCATTCATTGAGTATTTAACACACTTTTTCCTTAATTTTTTATCCCATATCCCTCTTTCTGTCATTACTTCCGCAATTCCTTTTGTTTTTTGTTTTGATAATTTAATGAAAAACCATCTTTTGAGGTGTGCTATCAAAAAATCGACCAGGTGCATTTTAGATTGTATACCTCCAAATTCAATATTCATTTGGCTTGCTACTAATATATCTTTAGCAAAAGCTTTGTGGCTGAAACTGTTGTCAAATCCAAAAACAAACATTGTATCCAGAAGTGCAATTTTTAAAATATCAATTGCCTGTTCAAGTTGCTTAGCTAACAATTGAACATTCCAATAACTTTCATAATTTGCACCAATTTTCAACAGCTCTGTAATATAATATTTTGGAATTTCAGAATAAGCTGCATGTTGCTCTTCAGTTAAATATACTCGACCTAGTAGTTCACACAAAAATTCACTAATATAGATGCACCAACCCCAGTCTTTTGGATATATTTTGTATTCACCTATTAATAATTAAAAGTAAAAGATTTAGTTTTAATAAAAATATATTATAATTTCATCAAATAAAAGTTAGACTAAGAATAACTAACAACTTTTAGGGCCCATCCTGTTTTCTCATTATCATTTGTGACTAATATGATCTTATCATATATTATTATACAATCCGCTTTTTTTCAAGAGAAATATTCTTTTCTACTAGTTTAGTAAGATCTTTGTCATCATATTCAATAAGAACAGATTTCAATTCTTCATCAGCAAAAAACTGTTTGTCTATATTGTACTATGTCTTCTCGTTTGTATCTATCAACATATATATCTTTTCTCTATTTACACTCTTATCTTAATTTTCTAAGCCATTCCCATGCTGTTTTCTCACATATTGTTTTTTTTGATGCCTAAAAATATGAATACCTCATTCTCTACATATTTTTTTTAGAACTTTAGGATTTATACTAAACTTATAACTTAGATATAACATTATCTATTTAAAATAAGATTTTGTAAGTTGCAAAGAATTAAGGCATTATACACAAAATTATTAAAAAAAATGCATACCTTAATAGAAATTCTCTCACTATCAATAAGGCTTAATTCTTTTATAAATTTACTACAATTATCTTTTGGAAGTTTGTGCGATTTTATCTAATTTTGTGTCTATACACTAATACAACACACTTTATAATCTTTCCACCCTAATGAACTAGCAATTATCATGCTTGTGTTTATTCTATTCTGACTATAGTAGTATCTAATTGTAAATATTGCAATGATGCTTGCAAATGAACCATTATATCTTTATCTATTTAATTGTTATTTTTTTTTAATATCCTATCTAATTTCTCAATTGCTAGCCTCATTTTTGTTTTCTTATCAATTTCTAATTCTGCTAATTCTACATCCATTGATCCCACCTCTGTTAATTTCATTTCTATTTGTTCTGCTTCCATTAGTTCTATTAGTTTCACTTCCATTGGTTTAATTTCTATTGATACAAATAATTCTGTTGATGATTTGCAAGTGGATGTCAAAACAGAGGCAACTTTAGAATGAATCAAGGTAGAGGCAAAGCAGGCAGTGATAGATTGAGTATTTTGTGCAGTCTTCTTTAATTCTGCCTTTTTTTATTTTAAAGTTCTTTTAGAACCTTCAACTTAAGTTGAAGGTCCACCCAAAGGTTTCCTGGAATTCTTATTTTTACTAGCTATTAATAACACAGCAAAGTAATCAGAAGCTTTCTTATCAATGTCCTTATCTAACCAAATATAGTCATCTAAGTTTTCATAATCCAATTCTTTTGTGATATATGCACACTTCTTGGCTCTAGCAGCTTTAAGTTACTGCTTTCTTTTGCTTGGACAGATAATAGTAGTGATAATAAACAATTGAATTGAGTAAAAATCTAATTGTCTTAATCAAGATTTTATAACTGGAATTGAGATATGGATTGTTTAATTATTATTATTATATTGTTTTTTTTTTTTAATCACTTATTTATTTTTTTTCTTTTTTATTTATTTATTTATTTTTTTTTATTTTTTTTATTTTTTAATTACTTTTATTTATTTTTTTTAATTATTGTTTTTAGAAAGGCTGAAATCCGAATTCAATTTGTCCAGCCAATGATATATTTAAAGGAATATAAAGACTTATTGGTAGATTGATTTCTTCATCCACTCCTTCACACTTCAACTTTGCAACATAATTTTGTTAATCTTTTGAAATTGAATCAAAAATTTGAGATTAGAAAATTGTTGTATTATTACTACTGATATATTATTTATTATTAAAGTTTATTAGAATTTGCATAATTCATTGCTCATATTGTATAGTGTACAAAATTTTTTTCAATTGATGTTAATTTGTAGTTACCATAAGTTATCATTTAATTGCATTATATAAACACAGTAACAACAATTGATCATATATTAGATTGTGACTAATTTTCTAATTAAAGTTTAAGTGTGCCTAATTTTCTGATTAAAGTTTAATAGCTAAAAATTATTTGTTTTATACAACATTCAATGTTTGAACTATACTGGCTAATAATTTATACCAGAAGTGATATTTTATTGAATTAAGGTTAGCAGAATATATAATTAAAAAGCAATTAACTGAGTTGGTTAAAAACAGCAGAGACATTCCACAATAAAAGCAAGCCAGCTGCAAGTAAAGAAATGATAAAATCACATAGCTTCTTATTTGAGTGAGTTGGATAAGTGATATAAATTTTATCTTGTTTTTCTAGTGCTGGAAAAGCTTGAGTTCACTTCTCTTACACTTATAACTTATATTGGCCTTACTTGTTTTCTTATTTCTGATTCTTTGCACCAAGCATGTGCTGTCATCAGTGTTGCACCCTTTTAGATTGATCTTCTCACACTCAAGTTCTTGCTTTTGCAATTGTCATGTAATATTCAAATGTAATATCACTTCGTATTAATTTTTTTATTAAAGTTAAGTTTGAAAATTTTAGAAAAAGCATACTCATCTTTTGTGTTCAATGATTTTCTGCTCAGAAATATTCAGATTCAGGTCTCAATCTAAATTGGCCACTTTAGTCTGGGATTTTGCCAAATATGAACAGTATAGATCGCACCTTGTATTGTAAAGAAATGTTAATCACATGATTCTAGATCATTTGGTTGTATGAAAATCATGCGTAATTGACCAATCAAATTTAACCACAACAAAATTTACTTATTAATGAAAAGAAGTTTGTTATCATTTGCTTTTTTTATAATGGCTTATTGCGAGGGATCAAGTGGGATTATTTAAAATAGCATCTTATATTAGCTAATTGTATATTGTTTAATATCAAATAAAAAATAAAATATCAAATGATTCCGCGCTGATAAAAAATGTTACATAGCCAATCAAATTCACGGAATGACACAGAGATCATTCTAGAATGTGATTTCCTAATTTAGTAAAATCCTTAACTGCACTTAGATTATATAACTTCAGTTCTAGAATATATGCACTATATAAGCTTTTTTTGTTCTTAAATTAACAAGAATGCCTTTACAACTATTGCAATAGCAAGGTTCAGGGTAGCAATTTTTTTTAATGTTTAATATTAAAACTATCAGATTTTTTAATTGTTTTTTTAACAATTTAAAAATTTTTTTTTTTAATTTTCAAAGGTGAGGCCATGCCTCTATTTTTATTAAAATCTAATTAAACTTCTTTACAAATACTTAAATAAAAAAATTACATTATTTGAACTTTTTATTTATAAGAAACTAAGACTAGAGACTCAAACAGAGCCCTTGTTAACTCAAGAGTTATAGGAGTTATTTGCAACCTAAATCTACAATTCAAAATGTTTTTTATAACCTATGAAATAATAAGTGATATAGATGAATAATAGAGAATATTTGATTCAGAAACATATAAGAAAATGTATGAATAAGAGAAAAACAAGAGATATAAAATCAAAGTATATAAGTGATAGAGATTTTAATTAGAAAAAATAAAGCTTTAAATAATAAAAAATCAATACTTCTTTTTGAAATGCTAATTGCTCTAATAGGTTCTTTGTTTTTATTATTAGGTTAAAAAAAGATATTAATTTACTTTCATTATATTTCTTAATATATCAATACAATTATACTATGTTTTGAAAATTGCACTCTTTGTTTTTATAATCAGGCTTTAAAAAAATACATATCAATTCACTAATAGATTTTTTATTTTATTTTATAAAATTATATTGTTTTGACAATTAAACTATTGGTTTTAAAAAATATGTATTAATATATTGATAGATTCTTCATTATATTTTTTAATATATTTAATATAATTATACTCTTTTTTTTGACAAATAAACTTTTATTTGAAAATTATATGATCAGATTTTAAAAACGGTTTTACTAAAATGCACCATAGGTGTTGAACACCATATTATACAAACTTATTATAATAGCCAATCAAAATTTAAGATCAAGTGTAATGTAATATTTTGCTTTTTTGTTTATTTTTTTAAAAAAATGAAAATATCTCAAAATTTTACTTATAAAATCACCTTTGAAGCTCTAACAAAAAAATTTTTTGCAAAGTTTTGCATATACTAATGCCTAAATAAAATATAGGCCTTAATTTAACCCTAAAGTAATTAAATTTTACTTTTTGTTTTTATAAAAATTTGTTTTTTTGTTTTTGTTACACAGATCTATAATTCAATACAATATATATGGGTGCATTTTATAATCACTGTTTAAAAAACATATATCAACTTACTGAAAGATCTTTCATTATACTTTCTTAATATATTGATTATATTAATCATCTTTATTTTGCTATATATATCAATTAAAATATATTTTTGTTTTGACATTTTTTTAGTGATTTGAATCCTGATATATTTTTTGATTATAATTTGCATAATATGAAATTGATTAATAGATTTTTTAAATTTTCTATATATTTTTTATACAATAAAATCAATAAATTAATCTAATATAATTTTTTTTTACTTTGTATATTGGGAAAATAAATTTTTTGATTTAATTTTTAGGTAATTTGAATTAGCAAAAAGATATTTGTATTCTAATAATCTTTAATTACATTCAATGAGTTATTTACTAATTTTATAGTATAAATTATAATTTTATAATAGATTATATAATAATATATATTATAACTGATGAATACAAATCACTAACTCTTTTCAATAATTACTTGTACCAAATTTTTCTTAAAAACTATTGCTATTTACTCAAAATTTTATTAAGTAAACTACACTTTTGCTGCCTAAGTAAAGTTGTTTTATACTTAAATTTACTTATAAGCAGTCTAGTTTTATAGCTTTAAAGCTCTTTGCTAATGAGTTATAACTATATTTTAAATTTTAATATTTTGCTATTTACTTAAAATTTTATTAAATAAACTCTTCTTGCCTATTAATAGAAAAAGATTAAGCTAACTATGTAAGCAACTCTTTCTGTCAATCACTTATACAAAACTTAACTAAAAATTTACCAGTTAAAAATTGTTAATAACACAATATTTTATTAAGACAACTGCCTCTATCATTCTAAGTAAAATTGCTCAGCTTAAAATTTTACATATAATTTGGAAGTTTCAAGTCTTTATCTTGAAAACTTGTAATATAATGCTACAAAAACTACTTTTGGATTTTTTTTTTTTTTTTTTAAGCGGCATTTTTGACCATAACTTTATTATTGTATATTTCCGATAAGTTACATTTTACAGTTACATCAGTATTTTTACAACAACTTA